ATACACCATATTTTAATTGTGAAAGCAACAGATAAAGACATATGCATCTTTCATTTTAGAATGCGTAGAAGGCTCTCAAAAGCTAAAAAACAGAGCTACCATACAAGCCAGTCCTGGACATGTAACTCAAGACTTAATACAGATATACTTGCACATTAGTGTTTGCTGTTGCTCCATTTACAGCAGCTAGGAAACAAAATCAGCCTAGAAGTCAATCAGTAGATTAATGTACAATGATAATGTACTGCAGATACACAGTAGAAGGTTATTCATCCAGAAGGAAAATGAAATAATGAAATGTATGGAGCTGGAAAATACATTGAGAGGTAATCCAGACTCATAAAATGCCAATGCACTCTACATGTGGATACTGGCTTCTAAATTTCTTATGTGTATTGGTATAGGATGACTGTTTAGAGGATAAGGAACCAGAAAGGTGACTCAAAGAGGCAATGATGCTCGAAAGAGACACGAAAACTGGATGCGTAAGTGTTAGAGGGTAGACATTTACAGGTGAGGATGAGGGCTCAGGAATATGAAGAGATGAGGGTAGGGAGACAAGAATCAACCAAATCCAAGTATATAGGAAAAAAGGCCATAAGGAAAGTTGCTACTTTATAAATTAAAAATAAATCTGTTCTATAAGTAAATCTTGACTAATGATGAGATCGGCTGTTAGCCAGCATTCCTATGTGCTGTGGAATATTATTTTAGCTATATAAAGATGTGTCACATTTGTATTTGCTATGGATTACTTTAACTGTGCTTTAATTTGTTTAATGATGTAAGGATATGTTACATTTGTTAATGCTTCATCTGTTTAATTATGCAAAGATGTGCTGCATTTGTTTCACTTTGCCTGCCTAGAGGGATAGGCAGGCAGAGAGAATAAGTAGAAGGAGAAATATAGGCTAGAGAGGAGGAGAAGAGGACAAGGGAGAAAGAAAGGGACACTCCCAGGGCCAGAAGCCAGGCATAAAACAGGAAAGTAGGAAGAGCCTTGATTCTTAACTTGTGGGTGGAGACCTCTCTGGGGGTCATCAAAGGCCATCAGAAAACAGAGATACTTAATTCATAACAGTAGCAAAGGTACAGTTGTGAAGTAGCAATTAAAATAATTTTATGGTTGGGTCACAGAATTAGGAAGGTTGAGAACCACTGCTCTAAGAGAATCCCAACTAATAGACTGTAGTATCAGGAGTGGTTCTAGAGCAACACAAGTATGAGGAAGGAAGAGTTTAAGTACCTGGAACAGGCTTTCCAGTCTGCCCACACCTAGTTACCCAAGTCTCTCCCTGAAGCACGGAGAGCACTAAAAATCCACGGTGTGAACTAGTTAGTGAACTTAACTATATAAATGCAACCATCCTGACTCACCTCTGGGAGGAGCAAGGGATTTAGTGACTTTATAAAACTCCTGCATTTGTGCAAAAATAATGAAAACAATGAATTTAGTGATATACCTGACCCTAGATGTGCATCAACAGTCTAAAGTGTTCTAACCATGCCCTGGAGAAGATTCTTCCCCCTAGATGCCACAGAGTTCAAGTTGCAAAGACTCAAACAGGAGTCCATATATTGGCTGAATTACAACAAGCCTTTTAAGTCCCAGCCTGAGAACCCTAATACAGACTGCGAAGAGCAAGCTTTCGAAGCGCTTAAATTTACAAATAACTGTTATGGTGTGTGCAGGATTCCTGTGTGGACATATGCATGGAGACCACAGGGCACCTCTGCAGGGTTTGGTCTCTGTTCCCGTCTTATGTGGATTCAGTTTAGACTTGCAGGTCAAGTGCTGTAGATTTTTCTGTTGGTATAATCAACCACTTTACATATTCTCCCTAGGAATGTTTGTGAACAAACAGTTCCCAACTTCCTAGCCTTTTGCTTTTACTAACATCTGTGTCTTTTAATATTGCCAAGTCCATCAACTATTTTTCTTTTTTTAGCTCTGGCTTTCCTAGAACTCTCCTATGTACACCAGATGGCCTCAAATTCAGAGATCTACCTGCCTCTGCCTCCTGAGTGCTGGAATTAAATGTGGGCACCAGTATGTCTTATCCAATCATTCTCTTAAGAATTCTGAGATTCTGATAGGTAGGTTCCATGTGAGTATGACTTACCAGAGCAGCAGTCCAATACTGCTGGTTTTTTTTTTTTTTGTAAAGGTGCCCCCTTCCTCCATAAAGACAGGGGTTTCCATCACTTAGGCTATCCTCAAACTCATGAGGCAGTGGACAACTTTCAACATTTGATTTCCTGCCTCTGCCTCATCTGGTATGGTCCTGGGCAAGGTCCACTCCACTGTCAGCTTCAACTAGGGCTCCTTGGTTTTCCTTATGGTTTTGGGGAGCTGTTTTTAGTACCAACTTGCAAGCATGTTACTGTGAAAACTTCACAATTATGGTCCTCTTCTTACACTGTAACCACATAGTTTCAGAGGACTGACCTGTAGGCATTTTGGGCATGTTACCTCTCTAGTTTATGCTGATACCTTTCCATTAATTTTGGCTTAACTATTATTCTGGCTTCTTGAGAATACTTAATTTTTAGCAATTCTTGTCTAATATATGCATCTAGAAGCCATCAGCTTCCCTTTAACTGTGGTGTTAAACTGATAGGCTTTTGAGTGCGGCGGCATGCACCTTTTAATCCCTGCACTCGGGAGGCTGATGCATGTGGATCCCTGAGAACTTGCAGCCAGCCTGGTCTACATAGTAGAGTTCCATGTCCGTCAGGATCACATACTTGAGACCATTTCAGAAACCTCTTTTCTTTTTTTGGAGACAGGGTTTCTCTGTGTAACAGTCCTGGTTATCCTGGAACTCACTTTGTAGGTCAAGCTCACCTCGAACTCAGAGATCCACCTGCCTCTGCCTCCCAAGTGCTGGGATTAAAGGCGTGCGCCACCACTGCTCAGCTTTAAAATCTTAAAAATTTTACTTTGTGTGTGTGTGCGTGCACCATGGTATGTAGACATTAGAGGATAGCTTGCAGGACGCAGGTCTACCCTTCCAATGTGTTTAATCCAAAGATTAAACTCAGATCATCAGGACTGATGGTAAATGCCCTTGCTCCCCAGGCCTAATGTAGTGCCCCAAACCCTAAAATTTGTTTAAAAATAAGAAAAATGGAAGAAAAAAAAAAGGATCCTGTTTTGTTATGTGGGCTTACACTCCTGCTTCATCTCCCAGTGGCTTTGACTACAGCTGTGTGCTCCTGTGCCCAGCTTCGTTGGCAGCTTCTCAGTGGTCAAGCATTCCACTCTGATGTGTGGTCTGGAGGCATTTCCCACAGATGTGTTGGATGGATTGTGCTGTTTCTGTTCCTACATCTTCACTAATCTGGGGAAGGCCCAGCTCCCACTGCATGCTGGAGCAGCTGTAGGATATGCCATCCTACGAGGTCAAGATGGAGGGCCTGGATAGGGAGAGGTGCCTTCTTCAATAATGTCACTGGGCAGGTTGCTCAAGCTCCCATAAGCTAGCCTTCTGAAAATAAACCAACAAACAGAGAATACACTTTGCCCACTCCCAACACTGCACTAGACATATGGGTCAGAGGAGTGAGGCAAAGACAAGGCTGGGAATGAACACCATGAAGAGACCCCGTGAGCATGCAGCTAGATGCCCAGGACCCGAGTCAGAACAAGTGACACACCAAGAATCAGCATCCTGACGCCACGTGTAACAAGTACAGGCCAACTACACCAAAGGTACTGTACTGCATGCTTACCTGTATGCCACCAGTGAGGGACAGGCCGCTCTGGAATGGCAGGCTCCTCTCAGCTGTTCTCGTCTTAGGCTTCTATGGGCGAAGGTTAGTGGGTTCCCAGGGTATGCTATAGACAACACCCCTGAGCAATGGGAACCCAAATGTGAATTATGACATTTGCTGCCTAGAGTTGCTAACAAATTACAGGCTAGGTGGGGGACACCAAACATTTGTTGGTTCAAAGTTCCGGGAGCCCAAAGACTTGTTTTCCAAAGAAAACAACACACAGGTACAGAAGGGTCTGGGGAGACCTTACAAAGCACCACGGTGGCAGAATGCCTTCTCTGCCAAGGTCTAGAAGGACCTGATTCCAGTAAAGAAACAGTCACCTGGGTACCACCCGAGGCTGGGTAGACAGGCTGTGCAGGCTCACTGGCTGCCGAGGGTCCTCACACTGCAAGACGTCCATGCTTCTTTTATTCACAGGGCTGTATGGGGTCCACTGCTCGGCCACAGCACACAGGCTTCCTCACAAGTTCTTAGTGTAGCACTGATGACCTCGATGTGAGCAGAGCTTCCACAGGGCCCTGAGTTGATGTCCTGGTGTAAATACAGAGGCTGACAGGCGCTTGAGGGCCTAACAGTGCCTGCATCAGCCTTAAAGTTTGCTCACGGACATTTTTGTTAGGAAGCAAGTTCAATGGGGTTTAAGTCACTGTTCCTTCATCTGTAACCATTTTTCCCCCCGAGGCAGGGTTTCTCTGTAGCTTTGGAGCCTGTCCTGGAACTAGCTCTTGTGGACCAGGCTGACTACGAACTCAAGAGAGATCCGCCTACCTTTGCCTCTTGGGAGCTGTTATTAAAAGTGTGCGCCACCACCGCCCGGCTCCAAAAATATCTTCTAAAGGTATATTAGAGCTGTTTTACAGATTATATATGGTTGTAGTAACAGAACTCCAACATCTCTGGTGACTTAGAGGCACCATGGGTCCCCAGTTGGCATTCTTGGTTTTGGTTACAGTGGCCTAGGATGGCTTCAAACTCTCCATTTAGCAGAAGGTAACTTTGAAATTTTGGTCCTCTTTGCTTCCACCTCTGTAGTGCTGGGGCTACAGCTGTATGTTATAGTATCCACTTTTATGTGGTTCTAGAAATTGAACCCAGGGCTTTGTGCATGTTAGGGAGGCAAGCAGTCCTCTAATAAGCCACCTTGCAGCCCGAACACTCCTCTGAAGCAACCTGGTTAACTGTTCCATGGGCTCTATATAAACTTGGAATGAAGTGCACACAGTTAATGCAGGTTCTTTATTGGTTTCAATGTGTTAGGAGACGTGGTAATAAATGATACCCTTACATTCTCTTAACCAAAAATATAACAAGTATTTACACTCAGTAAAAATACAAAAGCATACAGAGGCACTGTCTTTCTAAAAGACATAAGTTTAAGAGGCATCAAAAACTAGGAGACAACATTGCTTGTTACAGGATGCCTTACAATCATTGAATTGTGCAGATAATTGTCACTTGATCATAGCAACTGTGCAATTTTGCTTTTTGCTAAACTCACATTTCAATGTTAAAACATCTACCAGGTCAACTGCATTCTGTACATTAAAAATAAAGAGGCCTTTTAAATAGCACAAAAGCTAAAGATGAAGTAGGGTTTAAGTTTCAACTTGAAAATGTACCCAACTCAAGGCTGATTCCCCCTCCCCTTTACAGCATGTAATGGAATTCTGAAAGGATACACTTAATGTCTTCTAGAACCTTTCAATCCAAGTAATCACTGTTTTAAACTTAAGGAATCCTTTTTCCTCCCCCCTTTTTTGTAATTATAAAGAAACTAGTGTAGCTACTGCTGCTTTTCCAGTTTGGTAGAGATCACAGAGATGAACATGTCACCCTCGTGAATATTCTCTAAAGGATTTTTCTCTTCAAAGATCACGTTGAAAGACACCAGTTACAGGAAATGAAGTCTGGGGATCGCAAGGAACCTTGCTGTAACGAGCACTGGGACTCAGTAACCAATCTCTCACTGTTTGGCAGATTCTGCACGAAGAGTCTCCTGCTCTGACAGTCTTGGCAGATGCTGGGCACTAGCCTCTTTAGTCATGTTACACTTAGGACAAGGACAGATGGGGATTTGGAACTGGAGCAAGCATGGGCTTAAGGCTTCCCTTGTTCTAGTCACATGACAAAGTAAAGAAAAAAGGCAGACATGATTTTTTTCGGGGACTTATATACATCATATCACAAATCATTTGGTTTTCATTCTGATCAATATGATCAGCTGGTCTGAACACTCACAGATAAAGCTCGATATAACCAAGGCAGCTACACAGTGCAAGTTCAAAGCCACAAGCCTCAATGCTCTGTGCAAGATATTTACACCACTGAGGACCAAGGCAGGTCAGGCTCTGTCTGAAGACCTGCTAGACAAACAGAAGCTGTGCAAAGAGCACATTTCTCTAGAGTAATGGATAGAAAATGGTGGCAATGAGTACCCAAACTTGGATTAAAAAGGTGGACATAGCAAAAATACTTACTTTGTTTTGGACACGGAAACAATATTATGCAAACAGGTGAATAAAAAACTTCACACTCAGAGACAGCACAGTTCATAGGTCAGATCAGTTAAGCATGGCTGTTAAGCTTCAGTGGCCGCGCAGGATGCTTTCAACTTTGAAGGGCCAGCAAGGTTCTGCCTCACTGTACTGAAGTGCACCTGGGCTCACGTCTAAGGCTTCTGGGTTAAGGTCTCCCCAGGGGAATTCATCAGTCCCTACTTTTCCTAAAGAGACAGGCATTCTGTGGGAGGACAAAACATTTACATTTGAAGCTGTTCTGATTCTCAAGTGGTTGGCAGGAAACAGGAAGAGAGAGCAGCAGAAAAGCACAGTCTTGAGAAGGCGTTGGTCACGTGACTGCTCTGCAGCAATGCTGCCATGCTTAGTGCACTTAGAATGGCTTTGGCTTTTTTTGGTAATTACAGAAGTTTATGAAACCTTATTTGCCTTTATATTACAAAGCAAATGAAAAAATTTAAATATGTTATTTAACATTTAAATACATTAACTACAAAATGTTATGATTAATTTGTAAAAATGTGAAAAGTCTACTTTATTTCATAAGCAGTCACTGAATTTGAATAAAGAGTGCCATATCCAGGAGGTCACAAAGGATGTCCTCTCCAGGGTAGAAGTCCCCTCCATTACCCTAGTGCCTTTCTCTTACACAAGTCTATCCCTTGGTTACTGAGCTCTGTGGAGGGTTCTAAGTTCAAGTTCAATGATTGCACATGTGGCTTGTAGTGCAAGCCACCAAATAAGTCAAGATGACCTTCATCATTACATCCATACTTAAAAAATGCCTATGTACCACATGTACTCAGTGCTTCCGGAAACCAGGAGGGTGTTGGATTCCACTTCTGGAGTTACAGGCAGTTGTGAGCTACCATATGAGGGCTAGGAATTAAATAAACCAGGGCCCTCTGCAAGAGCATCTTAACCACTGAGCCATCTCTCTAGCTCCTACACTAATTTGTTTAAACTAGGAATTCCACACTTGAGTTGTGAAATGTTAGCTTAGGGTGGGTTCCAATAGAAACAAAACTCTCTAGAAGCCATTCCCATTGGATTTGTAGAATCCTCACAACTGGACGCAGCATGATGTTCACTTCAGAAATAGATCCAATGTTAACTATTCCTTCTTTGGAAATTAGGGTTCTCCCTCCCTATTCGACCTCTGTTCCCCTTCCCAAAGGATTGCTAAGACCCCTATGGCTGTTAAAGCCCATGCCATGATAAGCAGGCTGCTCACACTTCACCTGTATAGGTGTCTAGTTCCCACCTGAGTGTCTGCTACAATAGTGCCACATCTCTATACCTATGACAGGATGATGTCTGTTGCTCAGACCATAGACAGCTGTATAGCCTCAGACAAACAACAGCTAACAAGAGCTCTTGAATACAAACAAAACCACAATACTTTAAATAATAAGTTACTTTTCAAATACACAAGACTATCCTTGGTATTGGCAGACATTTTGAATGTGTCCTTTAGCCCAAGCTATGGCTTGGAAATAATAATACCACTATCTTTAAAATGATTTACAAAAAGAGAAACCTATAGTGATATACAGGGGGGCAACTCTGAGCTTGAATGTGGTCCCAAGGCAGGAGTGATGTGCAAAGTGAAGGCTGGGATCAGGTGCAACATCCAGTTTAAGAAAACTGCACCTACAGGGCCAGAAGAAACGGAAGCATGACTCAGGAAGAGCTCATCCTCAGCCCAGCGAGGAAACTTCATGGTTGGTGACAGCAGTGAGCTGTTGGCCTTGGCCTGCAGAACCACGAGCTCTTGTCCATGCTCCTGACTTCCAGTGGTCTCCAAAGGGCATCCAAAGACTAGACTGCAGACACCTGCTCATTTTCTGAAAATGATAAAAATACAATTAGCTGGCATATCTATCTGCTAATGCAGATCAAGTAATAACCAACAGATTATTTGCTATACGAGAAACTCTCCCTATCTCAACAAATCTTGGCAGACATTCTATTAAGAACCAGGCTTCTTTGTAACACCATGGTTTCTAATCATACTGAGGACTGACAGGAAGCTAGAATTTCAAAACTAAAATTCTTTTACAACCCCCCTCCCTGTGTGTGTGTGTGTGTATACAAATGCCACTGTATATGTGTGAAGGTCAGATGGTCACTTTTCTTTCACTGTGCGGATTCAGGGGATCAGGTTTGGCAGGAAGTGCAAAGGCACTGCTGAACCATCTTGCTGGCCTCCATAGTTTTCTTTAATGTGTGTATGTAGAGGGGTACATATATGTATGTATGGGTATGTGTGTATGTGCATGGAGACTAGAGGTTGACATATGATGTCTTATTGGATGGATTTCTCAGTAAACCCAGAGTTTGCTAATCTGACTGCTCTCCAGTGGGATTACAGACAGCCACTCTACTTTCCAGCTTTCACACAGATTTCTGGGTTCATGATGGCATGGCAAGCACTTCATCCACTGAGCCATCGCCCCAGACCATAAATGGTTTCAATATATCACTTCACTATTATAGTTGTTTAGAAGGCGAAAACAATTACTTCCAACGAAGAAAAAACTTCAACCTTTGGCAACAGCTACAAAGTTCATCAAGAGTTTCTCTAGCCAGAGGAGCGGAGTCAATACTGTCTTTACAGAACTGCCACTTGCAGTTGTCATCAGTACCTGCTCTCAGATGTCTCCTACTGGAGCTGCTGCTTCATTAGCAAAGGCAGCGATACTCCTCGTCAGCTAGCAACAGAGCAATGCGTAGAGATACAGTCTGTGTTTACAAAATTTAGTGACTATTTAAATGTTCCTTATAATTTGTGTGTGTGTGTGTGTGTGTGTGTGTGTGTGTGTGCACTATAGTGTTCACAGAGGCCAGTAGATAACTTTTGTGTTAGCTTTCTCCTTTGTGTGGGTTTGGGGGACAGAACGTAGGCTGCCAGGCTTGCCCAAACAAATACTAAATACTTATTTTGTTTGCAGTGCAAGTGTTTGAACCCAGGGCCTGTACCTGGCCAGTCAAGAGCTCTACCACCGAGCTACATGCCCAGATCTTATTTTTTTTTAAAACAAATTTAAAGAGAGCTACAAACATTACAAGTTATTACATATATCAAAGGAAAGATCTTTCTATGCTCCATAATTCACTTAAGAGCCATTTAGACAGTTTGTCAACGTACCATCTGCTTCGCTATCTGCATCAGCCACATCTGCTAGTTTGGGATGGGACGGCTGCAAGCTATGCCTGTGAGGCTGGGATCCGGTCTTCGAGGGAACCCAGGCCAAGGTGTGGCTACTGGGAGGAGCTGGCGGCAATCTAGACAGGCTGTTAAACATCATCTTTGACCTCTGCACTGCCACACTATAGTCTGGAGGTTTTAGATGAGGGTGGGGTCCTTCCTTTACGTCCGCTAAAGAAATTCCCAGATATCCTGGAGGAGTGGGAGGTGGCTCCCTATACCTATCACCTTTCTTGGGTGAGGTGACACAGTACACTGGTGTGAAAAAAATAAGCAGTGAAAATGTTAATGGAAAAACATAAGAAACAAAGGAAAAAGAACTCCACATTGAACATTACAATGGCAAAAATATAACTTAAAAACACAAAATAAATACATTTAGACACAATGATAGCAAAGTGAAAATGTTCTTAAAAACACCAACATTTAAACCTATGGTACAAACAAAAACAAAACCAATACCTATCGGATATTTTAGGAAAATTCCATAAACAGCTTCATGAAGCAGCAACAGCACACTCCTCCCAAGACAGAGACAGCTCTCACGCCCAGCAGCTAGACCACAAAGATGACCAGTCAGAGAGATTTCTGCTGGCTGAAAATGATCGACTCTGACCACAGCACTGGCACTTGGGGCAGACACATTCTCAGTCTACGTATGCAAACCACTGAACTTTCCCAGTGCAGATGAACGAATTCCCTGTGGGAATCTTATTTTTGTTTTGAAATAGGGTCTCTACATAGCCCTGGCTGGCCTGGAACTCAGAGATCACCTGCCTCGGCCTCCTGGTGTTGGGATTAAAGGTGTGCATCACCACGCCTGGCTGGGGTTTTACTTTTAACTCCTTTTTATTTTTCTGACTAAAGGGTAGAAAAAAAAAAACCCTGAAGTTTAGGAAATGTGACATTAAGAATAACAGTAACTTTAATTTTCTTTTCTTTTTCTTTTTTGCTATGTGTGTAATAATCCCCTGGGACTAATGTGAAGCTTCAAAAAGCATCAGAAAAGGAAGGGAGGGAGCTTGATTATATGTTGATGATACAGATGACATTTAAGAAGACACTGCCCACACACAAGCAGAATGGATTTAAGGAGTATGAGATAATTTTCACATCAACAAGAGGCTTGTCCATGTGGATTTCTACTCTTCTACATTAAAACTCGCATGTAATGTCAGGATCAGAGTAGCTTGTTTCCACAAGAGGACAAGCAGGCAGTGGGAAGATTGTCAAGGAGAGAAAATTGAAGGAGGATTTGCCCAAAGCCACCAAGAAGTGAAAGAGTTTAAAATTAATACTCGGAGGGACATAGACATGTATATTCTTAGAATCCTGACAAAATGAGAAGGGAAATGACCACTATGTAGAGATGCACTAAACAAATCCAAGAACTTCAAGGTCAGCAACTGCCCTTTCCTTTTTTTTCCTTTTTAAATAATTATATCATAATGACATTGGCTTGATGGTATTTCACATGAACAGAGAAGCAGAGATATTATGTATAAGTATTCAAGTAATTCAGGGAATAAACAACTTGATGGCTAAATATACTACAAAAGCTTACTTAGACAGCAATCCACAAATCAGTTACCAGCGGGTGATACACACCAGGCTAGATACGCTGAAATGCTTGGGGTCTGTCTCTGCTTTGCGGTGCCTGAAAGTGAGCACAGGGCCTTGAGCTGCTAAGACCTCCTTTATCATGGAACATGTAAAAGAGGATTCACTGTTTCCGTCATGGATACACAGCAGCTGTGGTACCAACAATCAATCCTTTTGTCTCTACTGTGGAGTCAAGTCACACCACACACCTGACAGTCCTAACAACGTCCCTCCTGCTGCTCATGCTCTGTCCACTTTCACGGCTTGAGCATCACTTGTGCATCTGTGTTTTACACATATTTGAGAACTATGTGTCTTTTCTGCTACTCGTGGTCATTTCCCTTCTCATTTTATATATAAATTCAAGGACATGTATGACAGAGGAAAACAAAGTTCCCGAGAAGCCATAAATTTTGGGGTGATAAATTGTGGAAGGAAGAAAAAAGTGCAGAGTGGGAGAAATAATAAAATATCTTTAAGGTAGCCCAATGTCCTCTTTTAGGGGGAGAGGATACATAGCCCCTCAACACCAGTGATACAAACTAACTTGTACTTACCAATCAACCCTCTGTCTGTACTGGAAGTGACAGTTTTATAAACTGGGTCAGTGGTGTCCCTGGTCTCCAAGCCACCAGGGGCCTCTGTTGGTGCACTTTCCAAAACCCTCCGCTTAATTGTCCCATAGTTCGGTTCATATGTGTCCGAGAGGGAGCTAGAAGAGGCCCAACTCTGCCTCAGCTGACTGGTCTCTAGGCTGCCTTTGCACTGGCCACAAGTTCTTGAGTAGCCTCCTTTAGAACAGGCACAGGGCTCACAGTCAGTGGGCTCAACCTCAGCAATAGGGTCATCTAAATGTGTGTGCCTGTAAGTGTTCAGAAAGTCCCAGCTTTTGGGGTTTGGAAGGCTTTGGAAGTTGTCATGGGAGCTGCTGGAGCAGGAAGTCCAACTGCCCCGCCCACTGTCAGCTGCTTCCAGCAGGATGTGCTCATGAGACATCTCTTCACTGCTCAGAGAAGATGGGACAGCTACACCCTTGATAAGAGTCGGCTTTGACAGCATCCACCTAAAACAGAGACGCACAGATGAGTAATGGAGACTTCCCAGCACATGTGTCCCTCCTAAAAGAGACCAGGATATACCTGAATGCTTAGTGAGGCAGTGTTTTCTCCACAAAACATTCACTGACTTTAAATAAAAACACAAGATGAAAAGTGAAACGAATGGAAATAAACGCACCTTTGTCAATACACTGCTCCCCCAATATGCAGAATTAGCATTTCTTTTCCTTCCCTTCCTTCCTTTCCCTTTCCCTTTCCTTTCCTTTCCTTTTTTTTTTTGGTTTTTCGAGATAGGGTTTCTCTGTGTATCTCTGGCTGGCCTCAAACACACAGAGATCTGCTTGTCTCTGCCTCCCTCAGTGCTGGGATTAAAGGCGTGCACCACCACCGCCCAGATGAGAACTCAGCATTTCTAAACTGAGGAACCATGTTTTATTTTTTCACTACCATCTGAGGTTAACTGAGAATGAAGTGACAAAAGTGCCAATTACACAGATGTCCACATTTATAACAAGGTTCCCAAACATGGGCCACAGGTACCCAACAGTCTATTTCTAAACAGTTAATGACAGAGAGGATTTCTGTATTTTAAATAGTATGTATGCCCAATTTGCAGCCTGCATGTGGGCACATATAGTTACAAACACAGCACAATACAAAATCTGTAAACATATTTAAGACACTATGAGGTATCGTTTTATGTTTTGTGTGTGTGTGTGTGTTAATTCAATTGTACTGTTTTTGAATTTCAACTGTTTGAAAGACAACAGTCTCAATGTCAAAAGACTAGACATGAGACTAAAGATCAAGGCCTGGCCCCACACTCCAAGCTCTTGTAATGTGCTAGATATACATGCTAGACAGGAAGTGTGTTGTATAATACAATCTTTCTGAGTAATCGCTAACAGTCAAGAGCCATGACTCTAGTAACAACAGCAGGCACACAATGCATTCTTAGCAATCGACAGGATACATGGCAGAAACTAACTTGAACAAAGGGAATTTAGGAACACAAAAAAATGTTTGCCCATGTATTTTTCAAATAGTATGTATTTCCAAACTCAGTATGTACAATGGGCATACGTGTAGCCTCATACTCTTACTAGGAATGTCTTATAATGGACCTACTTGAGGAGGGTGTAAGGTCAGGTTGTGAGTGTTATTGATTCGAGAGGAACACAGACATGGACGTTTACCCGTGACCAAGCTGACTGTGGTCTCTGATTCCTGAAGGGTGATCTGTCTTTTCCAATGTCCCCGCCATGGGCTCAGGAACTGCCAGGGTGTGGGCGGAAGACCGTTCATCCTGTAGAGCCGCAGACATGGAGTCCACGGAACAGTTGCTCACAATGCTGGACCGAGAGGAGATTTCACTGTGGCTGGAGTCAGACAAGTTGTCAGACTTGGCTGATGGTATGAGTGTGTAACCTAAAGGAGAAAAGAACACTGATTAAACCAAAAATAGGAGAACAGGAAGGGGCAGCCAAGGGAACACCAAGAAAAAATAGGGGACAAAAAACATAGTAGGAAATCTCAGTTTTCATGCTTGAAGATATGAGAACGGCAATTTTCTCCATACCTTTCCTATCCAGCCATTCACCTACCATCCACACCACACCCACAGAACTCCACACTGAAGAAAAAGAGCCAAAAGCTGGTATTACTGTCCAGGCTCACGCACTTTCAAATATTCAACAAAACAAGAACAATGAACATATTATAAACATTAGCAAGTACATACAGTATAGCTTCTCTCTTTTTAACTCTGTGCCCCCTTCTTCGACTGATATAAAATATTTCATGGCCCATGCTGGGGAAGGGATAGGAATGGAGACAGGCTCAAAGAACTGTTCCTGGAAATCTTCAAAGTGCACACTCTTATCTCAGATATTCTACTTATTCTACCCAAGTCTTTTCCCAAGTTGAGGGTCACTATTTCAGTATTTTCAATCGATTATTTTTTTGCAATTCTAAGTAAGAATACAACTCAGGACCTTGTATGGGCTGCTCAAATGAAAACTCCAGTCCTGTTTTTGTGCATATGTGCATACACATATGTGGCATATGTTCATGCGGGTATGTATGTCCACGTGTTTAGGTCAGAGGTCAAGGTGTCTTCCTTGACTGCTCGCTACTGTATTTTTGAGACCAACAGTCTCACACTGAATCTGCAGCTCCATTAGCTGGCAAGGCTAGCTGGCCAGAGAGTCTCTTATCCTCCTGCCTTGTGCTAGGGTAATATAACGCACAATGGATTTTTCACCTGGATGCAGAGAATATGGACTCAGAACCTCACACTGAAAGATCTTCCTAGCCCTGTTTCAGTATTTTTAAACAACTGTTTTAGATTTGAACATGATTAACTTTGTTGAGAATTAAATAACTGAAGAGATTAGAAAGTACAAGGATGAAAATAGCATCTGTTTTCCAATCTTCTACATCTTACTGCATAGTGCATTGCTACAAAGGCTTTGTTTATTTTGGAGGGATGAAGTGAGGTGATCCAAAATCACATCTACAGTATGATGGTTAAAGGTACCAAGTGTTCTATTTTGAGACAGGGTTTCTCTGTGTAGCTTTGGTGCCTGTCCTGCTCTTGTAGACCAGGCTGGCCTCGAACTTAGAGATCTGCCTGCCTCTGCCTCCTAAGTTGTTTAAGAAACAACAGTACTTTCTGTTCTCAAGGCAGAGTGAGGTCTGATAGATCACATGACTTTTGAACTAATTCCCAGAAATATTCATTGCTAAGGAAGAAATGGAGGCTCTTGTATGTTACTGATTCTAAGTAATAAAAAAGAAGACAGTAAGCTTAGTGCCAGGGCCTCCTTATGCCTTAAGAATTTTGGCATGTTTAACTGAATTCAACTGGAGATTAAAAAATGAGTGTGAAGTAACATTTTCAAGAGGTGCCATTAATCATTCCAAAGAAAAAAAAATCAAGATCCAGAAATGTGTGGTTTACATTTGGGCTTATGGGGCCAAGAACAGTAAGACAAGACAAGCCAGTGTTTCTGACTTCCACCACACAGCCTTGCACTCACCAGTGTCCATGAAATGACTCTTCCATTTTTAAGATGACCAGGACAATGGAAATGGCAAACAAGCATTCAGACGAGCCAGCCTTCTACTTCTAAAGAGAATCACTGTCTCTTGCATTATACAGATTTCTTTACTATTTCAAATCAATATTATCTTAATGTTACATTATTTTATCCTTTGTTACATCAGAATCTCAAGTGTAATTTATACTAAGGATTGTTGAATCACATATACACCTGGCACTTGAATTCAAAGCAATGAGATCTGGGGTGGGACATGGTAATTTAAAAGGTTCCAGATGATTCTGAACCTGTTGGGCTAACTTCCCTCCCAGAGGCATTTTAAAGTGATGACATAAGACATAGGAAAAGACGTGCTTTTTTGGCTCACAGAACCCCCCCCCCCCCCCCCCCGTTGAGGAAGTAAGATGGCAAACAGGTTCCGAGGCAGAGGGTGGAAACGGCTTGTGATGGGGGTTTACATGAAACTCAACATTGGTTCTTAAGTTTTCTCTGATAATCTCACTCAGTCTCAGCTGCTACCAGAAGAAAATACAGAAACTACAGAAAACAAGTAGACAAGTTTACTAATTCAACATAGCAGTCAGAGCAACATACGTACAAGCGAGGCACAATAAATCAGTAATTCTTTGCTGCTAAAGGTTCTAGAGCACTCAGCATAAAATGCTTAATTGCATCTACTACATCATCTGCCCAACCTCTGACAGATGGCTGAATTCAAGCCATATTTACATTAATAACTTAAAATAAACTTAACACTAATATTAAATAAGGAACTTTTCAGAGAGTCTTTCTCCGCTTAGGCTTGAACCGTGTACAGAAGCAGCTGAGAGCGGTACTGTGGCCTCGGCTACTTGAGTTGCAGATGGCATTCCCTTTCTCATCTGTGAGGTTGCTTCCAACACCCTTCACTTTCTCACAGCTGTCTGTAGCTTGATTGTGATCTGTGTCCTCTTTTTGGCTGTTGACTAGTCTCTCCCTTGAAAGAGTTCTCTCCCTAAATCTTCTAAACGGGGATGTCATTCTTTTCCTGGTTGTGTTCTCACAACTTGTCCTGTCTCTATTCTCCTCAGTGGCCTTCTTCGTCCTGTCTGTTCTTTTTGCTGTGCTCCCAGTAATCTGGAGGATTTTCTTTTGCAAGTAAACCCCACCTATTCCGGGACAGCTCTGGCCACTGATCTTGGTGCTGGGCTCACGGGGAGGGGGTGAGGAAGACCCTGAGAGTTGCAGCGGGATGCTGTGAGCAGATAGGACACTGCCAACTGGAGAAAGAGATGCAAAAACCCTGACATCATCAATTAATTCTTTTCAATCAGTCATAATTAGTTTGGTTTACAAAACATTTCACTATTTTAAAACTTTATCATCTTGACAATACCTAATTGAACTACAGCAACAGTTCTTTTTAATAAATGAAGAAACTATATAGCTACTATAGAGCATAAACACCTGTTCCTACAAGACAAAACAGGAAAGGAATTCCCTCGCTTAGAACAAGCTAACCAAAAAAGAAAAAAAAAAATAATGCTGAAAGCAAGTCATGCTGGTAAAAAATATAAAGAGAAATATGACAAGAATATAAGGCGATCAGAAACATTTAGGAAATGTTAATCTTAAGAAATGATGCCTTAGAATTTTCAGATTAAAAAAAAAAACTCAAAAAGGACTTGCACAGGCTACAAGGACACCTTTATATAGTGCCATTTCTGGTGCAGATGGGGATCCAGGAGGAATGTTCAGGTGGTTTGGTTCACCTTCCAATGTGTGTGGTAACATACGCAGGTGGTGGAGGTCAGAGGACAATCTGGGTGGTGCTTGCCCTGAGGAGCAGCTCACTGATTGGCCCAGCAATCTGCCTGTCTCGACTTCCCCAGGCCCAGGACAAAGCATGCTATCATCCTGAGGTTTCACATGGTGCTGGGGTTCCATATTTGCATAGTATGTGCTTTATTAACTGAGCCATATTCCTGGTTCTTGGCTTCTAAGATACTGTTTAAATTCTCCTTATGTAAATATGAAATAGGTTTACTTTATTAGTAAGGAGAAAAAACCCAATCCCAAAGTTTAACAAGAACTGAGAACAGCTGAATAATGTACTTTTATTGTAATAATTTTGTTCAGCCAAAGGTTACTGGCATGAACCTGTTTATGAAAATAGATGTACCAAGGTTGAGTTGGGTTTTTCTATTTTTGTAAGGTTCTCATTATGAAAATCCAAATGGCCACAAACTTTCTACAAACTTAAGGATGTACCTCATATAAGTCCTCCTGCCACAGCTGGCTGAATGCCAGCTGAGTATGTTACTCTGGCCCTGCAGGACCATTTGTGAGACTAAAGATCAGATGAGTTGTAGAGATCTGATGAAGGTGTTCTGGATAATCAGCTCATATAAAACAAAAAAAGGCACAGATCTGTGTGTCTTATAAAAGCATAATGAGATACAGCAGAATCAGAAACTGTTTTCTGAATATACCTACTATGTATATATTCCTTCTAGATCCTGTTTGATTTCATGAATCATTCCTTAGTAAAATCTCAGAATCCCAGTTACCTGAGGGTAGAAAGGGCCGGGGAGCAAGGGAGCCGAACTATGCTGAGGCCACAGCAGGGAAAGGAAGAGACGCTTGATTTATTCGCTGACAACATACAGAAATACCATTTCTTTTAAACCATATACATTGGTCGTAAAGCAGAGGGTCTTTCTGAACCTTATAAACAAGTCACAAATGGTAACAAAGAAGTAACAAGGGATAGGGTGTCATACTAGGTATTACATCACTACACCCCAGCTGGCAAAAATAGTTCTGAAGAGAGAACCTTAGACCTTGGGAAGAGAGTGAGCTGCGGGAGCTCCTCCTTCTAGCCAGGACTAACAAACTTCACTCCTTTCTGGCCAGGTAATGCCCTCTTCTGTGGTTATTTAAAGGGCATTGCCCCCCTTTTTTACACTCATGAATAGTCCAGGACTAGGGCACCTTTATCTCTGAGCGTAGGCTCAGAGGGTGGAGGGCCAGAGTAATAATCACATGCTCTTTAGCCTGTCGCATGTGTTCAACATCATGTGGCATCTCACAGTCCTGGATACCCAAGAAAAGCTCAGTCTAACTCATGAAAATGTACGTGAAGAACAACAGTCTCTGACTTTTCTTCGTTGATTTTGTGTAAATGTAAAAACCACAGAAAGGCACAGGTTATTTCAAATGTCCATAAATAAAAAGAACAGAGCAAACCAAAAGTGGAAATCTAAATAATTATTTCTTTTTTGAGACAGGGTTTCTCTGTGTAGGCCTGTTGTCCTGGAATTTATATTGCATATCAGGCTAAGAGATCTGCCTGCCTTTGCTGCCCCAAGTGCTAGGATTAAAGGGGTACATCACCGTGCCCAACTAAGATTGCTTTTATCCCCCTACATTTTGCACTTGAACAAAAACAAAAAGAAAGTTTTTTCAGAGTGGGGTCTCAGGCCTTGAACCTAGAATGGAGCTGCTGATGGCCATGACCTCCTGACCCCCTTGCCTCCTCCTCCCAAGTGCTGGGATTTCAGGTGTGCACCATCATGCCCAGTATAAATACAATTTCTTGAATAGTTTTATTTGCAAATTCTCCATAGAAATGTTCAAATATTGGAAACTAGAAAGATGGCACTGAGCACCAGCAAAGACCAAAACAACTGTGATTTATGCCCTCATTTCTACTCATGCTTGTCCTTTGCCCAAGAAGCTAAGTATCACGCCCTAAATACTGGAGTTCTAGTTACATGATGACTGACACCTGAAAAATGTTTGAACAATTCAATGTGAAACATTAATTCATGTTCTGTCATTTGCTTACAGACTGAAAAGCCAAGTGTGCTGACATGCTGTTTGGTCTGAAAAGAGCTAGCACGAAAAGTTCTATCTTACCTTTGCGAGGGGAACTCTGAGGAGATGCAGGAGGGCTAGAATGCAGAGAGGATGCCACAGAAACAGTGTCTTCTGTGTGCTTCTTACCACTCACTTCTTCAGTTGGTCCTAAACCCTTTGGAGGTAAACTTGTACCTAAAATTAAATAAATAAAACACATAGAAATAAAGCAGCAAATAAGTATCATTTTACAATTAAAGCCCTGAGACAATGGCTGGTAGAGTCAACCAAGACATGTAAGTGCACTCAGGGACTGAGTGACTAGGAGATGGCACACAGGTCTCATTCTCTAGGTTATTTGTTCAAACTCAGTTGGTCAGTACAGGTAAGATTAAATGAGGAAATTTGTTTTGTGGCAGAGGGAAATCAAATACACCGTCCAAGTATAGTGCCCCAACCACCCACAATGATATACGGTTGCAATCTTAAGAGAGAAGATTGAGGTTCAAACTTTGCACTCCCCCCTTAACGTAGCCCCTTCAAGAGAGCAAAATACGCCAGAGGTAGTGTGTGCCAGCCTCGTCACCACCTGAGGAGCATCTCTGCTGTGGGTACACATGAGAGGCTGTAGGGCTGCCAGGTCAGCCCTTTTCAAGATCACTAAATTCATACTACAGAAGAAAAGTAAGCAAAGGACAGGAAAATTGGATGGTACTCACAAAACCATTCTTGTAAAGTTCTATTCTCCACCAGCTGCCTATTGAGCATAGATCAGATTCTGAAATGGTTATTGTGGAATAATCTTTTGGTACACTGTGAATTTGTGTTACTCAGACTAGTTTAATAGAAAGCTGAACGGCCAACTGCTAGGCACAATTTTCAGGCAGAGAGGATGCTTAGAAGGTGGCAGAGATGTCAAGAGACATTGAACAAGCAAGACACGGAGGAGGAGAGATAATAGCCATGAGCCACATGGCAGCATATAATAGAAATGGGTTAATTTAAATTATAAGAGTAGTTAGAAACAAGCCTAAGTTTTCGGCCATGCTTTTATATTAAATAAGTTTCTGTGTCATGATTTTGGAGCTGGCTGAAGGGATGGAGAATGACTTACTCCAAATGGTTCAGTCTAGTTACTTTTTGGAGTCCTTAGGAAGTCACTGACTACTCTCAGCATAAAGCAAGGATGACTGTGGTGAGGAGCTGGTACAGCAACAGCAATCTTCTCACTTGCCTGTGAATTTATTCTATTTCCTCCTCCCCACAACTATAGTGATATTTCATTTGTATTTTAACAAATAATGCTTGCATGAAGATCAGAATGCAAAACAGCCACACTAGTCAGTCATATTGGCCAGGTAGTAGTGGCACACACCTTTAATCCCATTGCAAGAGAGGAGTATAAAGCAGGATGAGACAGGGACTTTTTCCGCTCTTTTTCTGGTAAGAAGATTTCATAGAGTTAAGAGCCCTCTAGTGGCTTGGCTGCTTTGCTTTTCTGATTTTCATGTTGAACATCCCAGTATCTGTCTCTGGGTTTTTATTAATTGTGCTACGTACAACTTTCTTCTGTTCAAATATATTTCAATCTTCCTTCCTCCCTTCTTGTTTCTCCTTCTACTTCCTTTCCTTTTCTCTCTCTCTCTCTCTCTCTCTCTCTCTCTCTCTCTCTCTCTCTCTCTCTCTCTCT